GTTCTTCTCCCCCCGCCCCGCCCACCCTGCTTCCCGCACCTCACCTCTCCCTCTCCCTCTCCCGCTCCCTCCCCGCAGGGCCCGCCTCATGCAGAGCTTCAAGGAGTCGCACTCCCACGAGTCCCTGCTCAGCCCCAGCAGTGCCGCCGAGGCCCTGGAGCTCAACCTGGACGAGGACTCCATCATCAAGCCCGTCCACAGCAGCATCTTGGGCCAGGAGTTCTGCTTCGAGGTACACCCCCCCGGGGGGCAGGGGGGGCTGTCCTGTGGGCGCTCCGCGCGTGGGGGGGGGATGGGTCCACGCAGGCAGACCACGTGTCGCCTTCCTTCCGCTTTTCAGGTCACCACCTCTTCCGGCACGAAATGCTTTGCCTGTCGATCGGCCGCCGAGCGGGACAAATGGATCGAGAACTTGCAGCGCGCGGTGAAGCCGAACAAGGTACGCTGCCCCCTCGGGGGCTCCTCCCGCCCCCTCCCGGGTGACTCTCTTGCCCCCTTGGGCGGGAGCGGCTGTGCTGTCCCTGGGGGGAGCAGGCGGGCCTAGAGATGTAAAATTTCTGGAAATTTTGAAGCTCGGGAAAAAAACCCCTTTTTCCTGGTTTTTTTCGGGGGAAAACGGAAATTTTCAGAAAAATTGGGAAAAAATGCTACATTAGCATTTCTTGTGTCTTTTCTAGATTGAAAGTCATTCTGTTACTTTAGGAACATAAAATATGACTATGGACATTTTTACTTGGCATGAAATTATCACAGCTAGCATATTAAAAATATAGTGTATCCAAACAATTATTACAAACAGAATACCCACCCACATGCAAAAACAAAATTGAAACTTTTTTTATTTTCTTCTGACAATCGCACCTCCTAAAGGAAGAAGTGCATCTTGTTCTTGCATTGGAGAGTTCAGTTTGTAACCTAGGACTTGCTTGTCCTCAGTGCACAGATATTAGATCAATCTGATACCATATATATATATTTTAGAAATGATTTGGAAAATATTTGAACACCTTGTCTTAAAATATTTTATTCATCATGTTAAAATAGAACGTTCCATAATCATTTTTTCCCTTTTCTCTTTTCAATTTTTCCAATTTTTCTGAAAAAAACAAAAAAGCTTCAGGGAAAAAACGGGGGGGGGGGAACGTTTTCCCCCCAAAATTTTTCCGGGTTTTTTTCCGGGCCGTGACATCTCTAGGCGGGCCCAAGGCCCTTTCCGGGGAGAGTGGGACACTGATGGCCGCTCGGCCACCTGCTCCGGCCTGACCGACTGCACAGGCCGCCCTGCGGGCGGGACGGAGCCATGGCTCGCTTGTTCCTCGCCGTTCTCCCCCGTGGGGGACTCGCAGGAACGCTTGAAGCGACCGGGCCCTGAATCTGAGCGGTGGCCCCTCGGGGTCCGTCTGGTCTACTCGGACCGGCCGCAGCTCTCCGGGGCCTCAGACAGAGGAGGAGGTCTTTCACATCAAAGGCTACCTGATCCTTCCCTGGAGATGCCGCAGCTGGGGATTGAACCCAGGGCCCTTCTGCATGTCCAGCAGGTGCTCTCGCCCTGAGCCTGGCCCCCGTCCCCCCCCCCCCGGGTCCATCCAGGCCAGTCTTGTCCACTGAGACTGGCAGCGGCTCTCCAGGGCCTCAGACAGAGGAAGAGGTCTTTCACATCAAAGGCTACCTGATCTTTCCCTGGAGATGCCGCCGCCGAGGTTTGAACCCAGGCCCCTTCTGCACGTCCAGCAGGTGCTCTCGCCCTGAACCTGCCCCCCCCCCGGGTCCATCCAGGCCAGTCTTGTCCACTGAGACTGGCAGTGGCTCTCCAGGGCCTCAGGCGGAGGGGGTCTTCCCCATCCCTTCCTGCCCGATCAGGGTCTGGGGGTGCCGGGGACTGAACCGGGGACCCTCTGGATGCCAAGCAGAGGCTCTGCCACTGAGCCACGGCCCCTCCCAGACTCCAAGCGAGGGAAGCCCTGGCCTGGCGGCGGTGGCCGCTGCTGCGTGCTCCCCCCATCCCCTCCCCCGCCGGCAGAGTCTGCCGCGGCAGCAGGGCATCATCTGGCCAGGGTGGCCTTGCAGGAGGCTCGCCCGGTGGGTGCCATTCCAGGGGCAGGCGGGGGCAGCCCTGGAAAGCCCACAGTGAGCGGCCGGGGCTCAGCAGGCCCAAGGACGGGAGCTGGCATTTCGCCCGGTCTCCCTGACCCTCGCTTTCCTCCCCCTTCCCTGTGGGCTGCCGGCCGGAGGCAATCCATGCCCCATTGATGCAGAACCCCGTCCCGGGAGAGCTCCGGGCCCGGCTCTTGTTTCCTGCCTCCCCAGTGGGCGGTGGGTGGCTTCTACATAAGCAGGAGGTTGCTGTGCCCCCCACCCCCCCCCCCAGCCAGCAGTGCAGCACCCTGGCCCTCTGGTGCCCGTGGAGGACGGGGTGGCGGAGAGCTCAGTTAGGGTGCAGGGGGCAGAGTCAAGGGAGCGGAGACAAGCTGCCAGGTCTATGAGAGCCCCCCCCCCCCGGTTCAGGTCAACAGGCCGAGAGGCTGTTGGCACGGCATGGCCAGACTCCCAGGAGCAGGAGGGGGGCGGCTGCTCAGCGTGTCCTCTTGCGCCCCATGACCAGTTGTCCCGTCGGAATGGTGGGGCTTTTTCTGTAGGTGCCACAATTGTTCCCTGGTGCCACAAGGCTGCTGCCCGGGTGGCCTTGGAGTAAAGTGGTGGGCCCCAGCTGGTAGGCATCTCAGTGGGCACTCACCCTGACCCACAGGCGCGTCTGAAGGTGGCCTCGAGCCTCTGGAGGAAGGCGGCTGGGGGTGGAGCAGAAGGAAGGAAGGAAGAACTATGGAGGCTTGAAGAGGTGGAAGGAAG